CGTTATTGTCGCTTTGTCAAATGAAGAAATGACCAAAATAAACTTTGTAGATCTTGAGAAGTTATACAACTTTGTAGTTGAAAAGTTTTTCATTTGAATTCATTTAGGGCCTCAAAAATTGCTTTGAAAAACTGATTTGTCGAGGGCAAAAAAAATGCACATGGCAAAATGCCTCTTTGCCGAGTGCCAAAACAAAGGCACTCGGCAAAATACATCTTTGCCGAGTGCCAGAAAAAAGGCACTCGGCAAAGACGCATTTTGCAATGTGCCGAAAAATAGCACTCGGCAAAATACATCTTTGCCGAATGCCAGAAAAAGGCACTCGACAAAGACGCATTTTGCCGTATACCGAAAAATAGCACTCGGCAAAATACATCTTTGTCGAGTGCCAGAAATTTAGCACTCAGCAAAGATGACCTTTGCCAAATGCTGGCTTTGCCGAGTGCGGTACTCGACAAACTGCCTCTTGCCGAGTGCCCGTGTTTCGACACTTGGCAAAACGCCGAGCACTCAGTAAAGAGCGTGTCTCCCGTAGTGTATGGTATTGTGGGCTGTGGCATAGTTCAATGCTGACACATGCATAGGCCAATGCTAATACAGATCGAGTCCAGCAACACAGTCCCAAAGAAAAAAGAGGATATAGGAAAGAATAATTAGGACCAAATTAAAGTGGAATTATATATATATATATATACACACACGCGTTATTTAATACCCTAGGTGTAGAATACTATTCTACACTAAGCTGTTATATTGAACAAAATTCAGTAATGTTCAGTAGTCGCGTTTCAGTATTTTTTAGTATTTCGAGGTACTATGTGTAGTACTAACTTATACTAAACACGGTTCAATACTACTCAATATTTTTTCTAGATAAATACATGTGCTATTCTAGACCCTACTATTCTACACCAAACTGCTATACTGAACAGAACATAGTTTAGTATCGTTCAGTAGTCATGTTTCAGTATTATTCAGTATTTTGTGATCCTGTGCGTGACTGATACTGAACGTGGTTCAGTAGTACTCAGTAATTTTTTCTGGTCAGTTTTAGCTTATGGTGTAGAATAGTGCGCGCGTGTGTATATATATAACTACTACCCTGTAGCTGGCTATAAAATAACTTATTCTGTAGCCACTTTGAGTTATGATAATTACTATGTTAATTTATGAGATTATAGTAACTCCTTACTAAGTGGTTTAATATAACGTTATGATAAATATCCCCATGTGTTATAGTAACCCAACTATCATAAATATGTATTGATATTATCGTAAATTAGTATATAAAATTATCGTAAATGGAGGTGGCTACAGAATAACTTATTTTATAGCTAGCTACTGAGAGTATATTAAGTAGCCAGCTACAAAATAAGTTATTTTGTAGCCACCTCTATTTACGATAATTTTATATACTAATTTACGATAATATTAATACATATTTATGATAGTTGAGTTACTATAATATATTGGGATATTTATCATAACGTTATAGTAACCACTATGTTAATTTACGAAGATTATAGTAACTCTTTACTAAGTGGTTTACTATAACGTTATGGTAAATATCCCCATGTGTTATAGTAATCCGACTATCGTAAATATGTATTGACATTATCGTAAATTAGTATATAAAATTATCGTAAATAGAGGTGGCTACAAAATAACTTATTTTATAGCTAGCTATTGAATATACTCTCTCTCTATATATATATATATATATATATATATATATATATATAGAGAGAGAGAGAGAGAGAGAGAGAGAGAGAGAGAGAGAGAGAGAGAGAGAGAGAGAGAGAGAGAGAGAGAGAGAGTTATTATTAGTGACAGTTAGTCAGACGCTAATCAGACTCCTTTCTGGAATCCACTTATTTCAGTACAACCGGTCATAAGAACAAAATCCCAATATAATAAAACCCATCAGAAATCAAACCAATGGAACTATTACTACTTAAGGTACGTACGTAGACGATGATCATTCATCACAAGAAGAATAAATTAACACATAATAAAGTCATGCATGCATGTGAATCCAAACAACACTTGGATATGTCCCCTGTGTGTTCCTCCACCGGCCCCTTGTATAGATGGACCAGCACGTCAATGGATCGATCTGCATGTGCGTCGCTGGATCTCTTCGATAGTCCGATGCATGCAAAAATATATATAATCCTCAACTCATGTGGTCATGCCGTCAACCGTCATGGATGGGAATCACGTAGCTAGGAATATAGTAGGATGGATCAGTTGGTGTTGCGTGCGCAACGGGTGATGGCGGAGCAGCCGCGGCGGTAGGGGTTGGCGGCCTGCTGCGACGCGCAGTTGCTGTAGTAGGAGCGGCCGCGCTGGTTGCACGGCACCTGGTCCGCGCGCAGCGCCGCGTAGCTGATGTACCGGTTGGTCGGCTTCCGCGCAGCCAGCGCCCGCCGCAGGAGCGCGTCGCCGCCGCCCACCTCCTGCTCCTCGTCGCTCGCCACCGCGCACTGCCCCAGCGTCCCGTCGCACGGCGCCCGCACCGCCCCGAGGTCCGTAGTCGTCGGCCCGGCGCCGGCGGACGCCGCGCAGTAGAGGAGGCAGGCCGCGAGGGCCACGAGCGTCGCGGTGCCGAGGCGACCCATGAATCGCATGCACGAACGTAAGGCGATGTGTTTGTTGTTCTTGCTGTTGCGTTAAGGATTTCTGGAGTGCGTGGCCGGATGGAATGGCACGCCCCAGCCCTAGGTGGCCCTGGCTTTCTAGGTGCAGGACGATGGGAGTGAGAGGCTGAGGCTTGCTGCACGGGAGAGAAACGAGGCCGTCCGCGCGTCGTATCTCGCAGATGCGGCGGTCCAGTCTTTCGGATCAGTTTCATGTTTGGCTCGGCCGAATCCTCTCAGCCATTGAACGTAGTTGGGCCGGCCCATCTGAACTGCTCATCGGTAAAATCTTCAATGATCCATGGGGGGCTAGTACTCCTCCAGGGAAAATGCACTTGATCCATCAAGTCCGATTCACCTTCCATGCAAGATTGAAAAATCGGTTCGTCTTTTGAAACCTTCCGATTTTGCTCTTTGAGCAGTTTTTGCCTATGTTGTGGGGAGAGAGAGATAAATCAAATTATGTTGATAGCTTAGGGGGATGAAATGGACTTCATGAAAAAAAGGTTGCAAAAATAATATTTCAATAAATCAGCCAAAATATAATTGAAACTTATATGCAACTGAAAATCCAAAACCCGATTTCATATTACAAAATTCATATAAACTTATTTTAACTCAAAAAATATATAACTAGTTTTAGATTTTTTTTTCTAAGTCATGATTTTATCTTATGGTGCCATCTAGTTTAGAATTATTTAAACCTTATATGGTCAACCTTCTTTTAATTTATATTTCTAATAGAAGTAGTCTACGTAGATAACACATATTGCCTAGGAGTTCAAGGGACTTGAACAACAACACAGTATTTTGGGCATGTTTGATTTCCCATGACTAAAATTTAGCTACTAAAATCAATGACTAAACTTTAGTCACCCCTGTTTAGTTCTAGTGACTAAAAGTGACTAAAGATAATTAAAGCATTTCAACAAAGACCAAACTACCCCTAATGAATGCTCAAATTAGGGTGGGGAACCAGTAATAATGGGGGCAGCCCTTATCCACTGGGCACTTTAGCCCACTTTTAGCTACTTTTGGGTGACTAATGTGACTAAATTACTTTAGTCCATTTTTAATCAGTTTGTTTGGTACTTTAGTAGCTAAACTTTAACAGGGGACCAAACAGGCCCATGTGTCCACATCATACCCAATTCTATTTAGTATGAACAGACAAATGAGAGCTCAACACCAGAAGATGGATATAGTTGTAGCTTTTCTTATTTAGATAGGAAATGGATAAGCTACACGATTTTGGAGCTACCTCGGCTCCATCTGCTAGGTAGCACCAAATCTAAAAAGGAACATCCTTTTATTACATGTAATGGTTTCTGTTTCTTATTTACAAATGTGCAACTAAATTGTATTTGGTAGGGTTTGAATTATCAGCATAAAGATAACACATCAAACTAAAGCGGAAATAAGTTAATAAAATATTATGAACCACAGAACTAGTTTAGTTTCATGTGGTTGAACTGCTCACCTAGCATTCAGATCCTTGTTTCAAGATGGGTCCTCGCATTTTTCTAGACTTGTTGTACAAATGTACAACACTACTTCTTAATCGTAGACGGCATGCCTATCGACATCGAGACTTCCTTAGCATGACTTCCTCAATCAAAAGATTTGTGCTCATAATGGATGGGTGAGCGTGCGTGTGTGTGTGTTCATAGATGTGGATGCGCATCTATAAGGACCGAATGACCCATGACCCAAGAGGGAGGTGAACTGGGCTCTAAAGAAATTAATAAAACAATCTTAGTCTATGCAAACTCTAAGCCCCTTAGCATGTTGTTCTACTAAATTAAAGAAATCTAATGAGTCCTTAGGACCAACACACTAATCATGTCCATAGCAAGGATCACACTATGAATAAAAGGTCTTAGATAAGCAAGTGTGAAATATAAACTAAGCACACTAATATGAACCCAAGGAGAATCCTATCTTTCAGTCATCCAACACTGCGGCTCAGCTTTAGGATTTTTTTATGCGTGACTTATTTTTATATGGTGAGAATTAAGGAGACATGCATGCATGCATGCATCACAAATATCCTGGATTACAAATAAAGATTAATTATATATCACATAGTTGGTACCAAGCCTTAATAGTGGGATGAAATTGTGCATACTACGTGCTCGCATGCGCACACACATGAAGCAGTAGTACTAGTCTTTACATATAATTCCACAGTAATATAGCTCCAGTTTCTCACTTGCAGTCACATGATCACGGACAACTCAAGCTCCTGGGGTCCATTATTTATCTTCCCCCTGAAGAGATTAAAAGAGATCAGGATGGCAAAAACTGCTATGAGATGTACTTGGAGAGGAAATTTTATGTAGCCAAGTGGGAGGTTTAGTCCTATGGGCTCATGTTTTCTGACAACCAATTAATATGTCATTTAGAAGAATTTACATGATATTATGAAACATTTGAGGGGTGTCCATTTAAATACTTTTCAAATAAATGTGGCAGATAAAAATCTACCTAGGTTGAAGTCTTTCCGGTCCTCCTGCTGAGAGTAAAACTGAGGCTGCTGCATGATGTTGAACTGCAGGAAGCTCCTTATTGGGTCATAAGGAATAAAACCCTGCTGCTGATACTCACTTGTCGATGGTGCCCCCATCATGTTCACTGTCTGTTGTGCCCTTTCATTCTCTTCAACCTTTGCTTGTGAGACAGTTATTAGCTTGTTACAATATTTTTCTTTAAAGCTAAGATAACTTAGCATTTCAGTAACTACAGTTCAAAATTTTTTTCTTCTAAGAGTGATCACACAGTCCATAGCAACTAACAGGTTACTTACCCTGCTCCTTAAGCACAAGTTGTCATTCTGCAACTCCATTTCCTGAAAAGATGAAATTCTTGTTTTATTTTGTTCATTGTCGAGTAAATCAATAAATTTGTGAGAGGAAAAATGTTCTCTTGTTGCTCTTTACCCTTCTCTGCATGTACTCGAGTTCAGAACACAGCACTTCGTTCTGCAGAGTTGGATGCTCATTAATTGTGTAAACAAAATATTTCTTTTTCCACACATAATGCAATAAATAGAATTTACATCAGAAAAAGAAAAAAGGACTTTTTGAAGTTTGAGTGAGGATAATTGTTATTATATATATAGTGCATAGTACCTTTCTTGCTCTAATCTTTCCAAGGCCTTTGTCTAACCTAGTCTCCAGGTGGCTCATGGTTGTGATAGAATCATCTATCAGGGCCCTTGTCGGGGACTAAATACTGGGGTACCCAAAGAAGTGGAGCTAATAACCATCAAACGTTGATGCTTCCGAACAGACAAGAACGCAACTACACCTCTTGCCCATACGACCGAAGGTTGGCTGCGCCTCGCCCGGCCCCTAAGGGTTGGCTCCGCCTCGCCCGACCCCCGAGGGCTGGACTCCACCTCGCCTAGCCCCTAAGGGTTGGCTCCGCCTCACCCGACCCCCGAGGGCTAGACTCCGCCTCGCCCGACGACTGGGGGCAGACTCCACCTCGCCCGACGACTGAGGGCTGGCTCTGCCTCACCCGACGTCTAGGGGCAGGCTCCGCCTCGCCCGATGTCCCAGGGCTGGCAACACCTCGCCCAACGACCGGGGGCTGGCTCCACCTCGTCCGACATCCGAGGACTGGCTCCGCCTCGCCCGACGTCTGAGGGCAGGCTCCGCCTCGCCCGACGACTGAGGGCTGGCTCCGCCTTGCTCGACGTCTGAGGGCTGGCTTCGCCTAGCCCGACGTGCTGGGGCAAGCTCCGCCTCGCCCGACACCTGGGGGCAGACTCCGCCTCGCCCGACGCCTGAGGGCTGGCTCCACCTCGCCTGACGTCTGGGGGCAGGCTCTGCCTCGCCCGACGTTCGAGGGCTGGCTCCGCCTCGCCCGACGTCTCAGGACAGGCTCCGCCTCGCCCGACGTCCTGTGGCAGGCTCTCCCTTGCCCAACGTCCGCACCCTGCTCCTTCATAATGACGAGCACAGGGTAAGATAGGACACTCGAGTCAACCGCAGTACCGAGGACCATACCCTACATGCCTGTGGGAAAGTACCGTCAGGATATGACGGGACGGGCGCTTTAAGCCCTTCCAGGCACGACAGAGCCCGAACAGTGTTGTAGACGCCGACTTTTGTCTTACATTGTTGTGAGCGCCGCCATCAACCTTCGGACGCGGATCCTAACATGAGCATATGACAACCACTATGATCCAGGAGGGAACTCACATCATCTACAGTAACGAAAGGGAAGGCAGGGCACCCCACTAAGGGGATGGATCAATTCAACACACCACGCACCACATTACACACAGCTGAGCAGTAACCAAGCTCTCAGTACTCGTTCGACCTTTCCATCAGAGACTTGGGACATGTCCCTCTCTCGACCGTTTGTACCCCCTACTACGAACCTTTCAGTGCTAATAACACGAGCAGCAGCAGCAAACTGGACGTAGGGACATTCTGCCCGAACCAGTATAAACCTTGTGTCCTTTAGCACATCATCCGGGCCTAATGCGCAACAAATATAAATTTACTAGTTGGTGTTTACTCGAAACACCAACAGTTGGTGCGCCAGGTAGGGGACCTTTGCGTGTTCCGATGTTAAACATCAGGCCATGGATGGCTAGCCACAGAATCAGCTATGTCCCGGGCGCACACGTGTGCTTCAAGAACCTAGACTTCATCATCACGGTGGGAGGAGAGTTGGCTTTGGCTCACGCCGCCATCCAATCTCTTCCCTCCATCGGCCTCAACTACGAGAGGCTTGAGCACCGACTTGGTGTCTCCCTAGGACCCCAGAGTGCAGGGAGGGCCAGCGCCGCCTCACCCTTTCCAACACCAACGACATGGCACAGTTCGCCGGAGGAGGATCCCTCTCTCTGGGATACCACATACGGAGCGCCCCGATAGCGCTTTTGTTCGGTCTCCACAACGCTGCAGCCACCGTCAGCCACCTTGTGGCACGACGCATGGTCCTGCCGCCCGCGAACAACGAGTTTGTGGGGGTGATCGAACACGTCACGGAATCTCTCCACAACCTCCTCACAGAGGAGCCGGGGTCGTCCTCTAGCTCTGACTCCAGCAGGGGGAGCCATCACCCCTTCTGAGAATGCTTCATGATGGGTACCCCCGAGGGACACGTCAAAAGCATCCCCATGGAGGAGGATACCCCAGCAGGCAACCTCGGCGATGAAACCGAAGGGGAGACAGCAGCCCCACCTCGCATGGGGGTGGAGCAGCTGAAAGCCCAACAGTGGGAGATCGAGGTAGCACGACTCCAACTTGTGTAGGAATGCGCGGAGCTCGATCGGGAGATCTAGCGCCACGGAGACAGTGGGCGCGCACGCGCCATGGCCCATGATGTAAACCGAAGTATCATCGCCGACGATGAAGCCCTTCCTCGCTTCGCGCGGGCGAGCCAGAACATCGCCGCCGTGATGGCCTTGCTCCATGACCTTCCAGAGGCCATGACGCCTAAGGATTGTCAGGCCCACCATGAGATTCGCATGCTGCTCGAGTGTGCGGCGACGCAGCAGGCAGAGAGCTCATTGTCTCGGCGATGCGAGCTCGATGCCAGCTAGCGCATGCCCTCCGAGCGTCCCGACAGGGACGCATCGGTCCACCAGGCACCATGGGGTGGCAGGCAGCGCGCCACTATTTCGATGCATCAGCGTCTTGGTCGTAACCACGACGCACGCAACACTCTCGATGCCCTCAGACGTACCTACGGCGACCCGAGAGAAGGAGCCCGCTGTGGCTATCATCCTCGTCGCGGCAGACGCTATGACAGCGGCAAGGACCGAAGCCCGAGCCCCGGCCTGCTGGACCCTCAGGCCTTCGGCCATCACATCCTCAACGCTGCTTTCCCGCCAAGGTACCGACCACCGACCAATATCCCAAAATACTTTGGGGAAACAAACCTCGGATTATGGCTCAAAGACTACTAGCTTGCCTGCCAAGCTGGTGGTGCGGATAATGATGACTTCATTATCCGCAACCTTCCACTATTCTTGGCCAATTCGGCACAAGAGTGGTTGGAACACCTGCCGTCCAACGCAATCCAGAGTTGGGCAGATATGAAGGAGATCTTTGTGGGGAACTTCCATGGCACATACAAGCATCCTGGGAACCCATGGGACCTCAAGAACTGCCGACAGAAGACCGGTGAGACCCTCCGTGGGTACATCCGACGCTTCTCCCGATAGTGCAATGAGCTCCCTAACATTGCCGACACCGACATTATAGGAGCCTTCCTATTCGGGACTACCTGCGAGTCTTTGGTTCATAAGCTGGGACGCAAGGGCCCGTGAACCACCAAGGAACTCCTAGACATCGCCACCAGCCATGCCTTAGGATAAGAGGCGGTCGAAGCGATCTTCAATCGTCTCAAGGGCAAGGCAAGGCGGGACGAGGGCGCCGGTGAAGGCGCCTCCAATCGTTCTGCCAAAAGGAAGAACAAGAAGCAACGGTGCAAGGATTCACTCGTGGCCGCTGCTGACCGCAAGGGTGGTCGGAAGCCCATGGAGGGCACTCCGAACCATTTTGAAAAAATTACTCGAGGGGTTATGCCCGAACCATGCCTTCCCGGTTAAGCATCTGTTCAAGGACTGCAGCCTCATGCGGTAGTTCTTGTCCGAAGGCTCCAACAAAGGGGAGCACGGAAAGGACCCTACCCCCACCACGGACGACGTCAAGGAGAAGGACGACGGCTTTCTAACGTTGGGCGGCTGCCTTATGATCTTTGGAGGATCAGCGGCCTATGACTCCAAACGTCGTCAGAAGGTCGCACGCCGTGAGGTCTATATGGCTGAACCGGCCACACCTCCCTTCCTCCGGTGGTCAGAGTCTGCCATAACATTCGATCAGACTAACCATCCAGAGAGCGTCCTGCATTCGGGGAGATATCCGCTCGTGGTCGACCCGATCATTGGCCCGAAGCGACTCACCAAAGTACTGATGGATGGAGGCAGCGGCCTCAACATCATGTACGCCAAGACGCTCAACAAGATGGGCATCGACCGGACACGCCTCCGCCCAACTCAAGCACCTTTCCATGGCATCGTGCCCAGAAAGCAGGCCATGCCACTTGGGCAGATCAATCTGCCCATTACCTTTGGGGATCAGTTCAATTATAGGATGAAAACCCTCACCTTCGAGGTGGTTGGGTTCCCTGAAACCTTCCACACCATCCTGGGACATCCATGCTACGCGAAGTTCATGGCCGTCCCCAACTATACACACCTCAAGCTAAAAATACCGGGTCCCCATGGGATCATCACCGTCGGCACCTCCTTCTAGTGCGCCTATGAGTGTGAGGTCGAGTGTTGTGGTCACGTCGTAGTAATTGTCACCTCCAGGGAGCTCGCCGCCCTCAAGGAGGAGGTCACCGAAGAAGCGCCCTATGCCAAGAAGTCGACCGGGTCATTCGAGCCTGCAGAGGGCTCCAAAGAGGTCCTCATAGATCCCAATAGCACCGAGGGCAAAATGGTGCTCGTTGGTACCACGCTTTCCTCCAAATAGAAAGGCGCGCTCGTCGGCTTCCTCCGCGCTAATAGAGACATCTTCGCGTGAAAACCCTCGAACATGCCAGGCATTCCGAGGAAAGTCGCCCAGCACACCTTGAAGATCTACCCTGGCTCCAAGCCGGTGAAGCAATGCCTGCGTCACTTCGACAAGGAGAAATGCAGGGCCATCGGCGAGGAGATAGCAAAACTTTCAGTGGCTGCATTCATCAAGGAAGAATACTGTAACACCCCCGGTGTTTGGCTTCCACATTTGCACTACATTTCATGAACATGAGCATCATGCATCCATTCGTGAACCTATATCACATGAAACATGATTTTGAAACATTGCAACATGT